ACTCGGGAACAGGAGCCCTCTGTGGGCTATACTCGGGAACAGGAGCCCTCCGTGGGCTATACTCGGGAGCAGGATCCCTCCCTTGGCTGTACTCGGGTACAGGAGCCCTACGTGATCTAAACTCGGGGACTGGAGCCCTCCGTGGGATAGACTCTGGGGCTGGAGCCGACGCTGGAGCGAGCTCTGGGGCTGAAGCCGACACTGGAAAGAGCTCTGGGGCTGGAGCCGACACTGGAGCCAGCTCTGGGGCTGGAGCCGACACTGGAGCCAGCTCTGGGGCTGGAGCCGACACTGGAGCCAGCTCTGGGGCTGGAGCCGACACTGGAGCCAGCTCTGGGGCTGGAGCCCACAGTCTCTTTCTCCGCAATCTCCTCCTTTGGGCTGAGGAGAGGGAGATGACCAACGGGCTTGACAGCGGAGAGGCCAGCGAACTTGAGTGCTGAACGGTCAGCGGGCTTCACTTCGGAGAGGCCGGCGGGCTTGACTGAGGAATGGCTGGTGGGCTTGTGTGAGCCACAGCTGGCGGGCTTGACATCGGAGCGACCAGCGGGCTTGACTGAGGAACGGCCGGCAGGCTTGAAAATGCTGCGGCCGGCAGGCTGGTTCTGGCTCGGGGCCGGACGCTCTCCAGACACCGGAGGATCCCTTCCCTCCAGCTTAGTCCCGTGGTGTCTGGGAGGTCCACGGGGCGATGGTAATTGACCCCATGCCAGAACAGCGAGTTGATGGTGGCATCATCTAAAGCCGTCGCCGTGGCGAGCCTGCAGAACTCCCAGCCATACTCGACCAAGGAGAGATCTCTACGGGCTAGGGAAATGAAGCGAGCAGCTATTTCCATGGCCGTGGGAGAGACAAACAGGGAAAACAAAAGACTTTAAAAAACAAAAAAAACAAAACGAAAACAAAACGGGGAGAAGGGGCGCCACTTACTTTTTTTGGTCCTGTGTTCTGTCACACTCTCACGGGGAGCAAGGGAATGAGGAAACGACGAGACGCGGGAGTTGCTCAAAACCAACAGACTTGAATTATATAAAATAAAACAGGATACAGCTCAGGAACGTAGGAGGACATGAAGACATTTAACACCGGACACTCGAGACTTCAAAACGCAGGGCTTAAGTAACAAGGGAGAAAATGAGGGAATTAATCAACATAACGAGGAAACAAGGGAAACACAGGTGGAATCAAATTAACATAATGAGGACAGGAACAGGAAGACCAAAAATGGGCATATGAGGGAGGGAAACACAACACACAGGAACACAAGACTTGACAGTAAGTGGTCGATCATTCATTATTGCTTCCACCTCACACAGGAATGTATGTAAGCTCTCAAGTTAGTGTTTGCTCTTTCAGTACAGATCTCAAGATCTGCCGTTCCCACATTCCTGAAATGAGACCTGGAAGGTGGGTTGAATATCCACTGTATTCCTTTTTGCATGAGAGTGCATAAAATTGATTCCACTGTTGAATGGCTTAACGCAGTTCAATCTCAGCACATATGAAGTTAGTGCCGTTGTCACTTCTCATGACTGACACCTGATGCCACCTGCACACAAAGCGTCAAATGGTATTCAAACAGGAGTCTGTGTCCAATGAATGTGCAACTTCAATATGCACAGCTCTTGTCAAACCGGTAAACAATACACCATACCTTTTAACATTACTTATACCTTGTCTGACATCAAACGGTACAAAATAGTCTACATTTTCTCATGAATATCTATTAAGATTAAAGTAGTGACATGTGAGTTTTTCGGTATGATAACTGGATGATTTACATGCTCAGGCATTGTAGATTTACCAAGACATCCTCCAAATCTTAGCATTCCATCCTACGGTATTGGATCCAGTTTGGAAAGGCAACTGTCCTTTTTTACAGATGAATTACATTTTGCAACATTGAAATTTCTTAGAATTTTTGGCTTTGAATTAACTTTATGATTTTATTTATTTTAATAAATATTTTGTTTTTTTAGAATTTTTTTATTTTCTGCTCTTGTTTAGTCCTGCATTGTTAACTCAGCCACTGGGGTTGCACAAGCTAGTGCAATCCCAAGCCCGGACAAATGGGGAGGGTTGCGTCAGGAAGGGCATGCGGCGTGAAACATGTGCCAAATTAAACATGCAGATCATAAACAAGATTTCCATACCGGATCGGTCAAGGCTGCAGTTAACAACGACCGCCACCGGTACTGCTGGCCAGCAGGGTACTGGTGGAAACTATGCTACTGGTGGTCAAAAGAGGAGAAGGAGAGGAGGAAGGCGTGTCCAAAGACAACGAGAAAAGAGGAAGGGTAAGAAAGTGGATGTGAGAGTCGGAACGTTGAAGGTTGTCACTGTGACTGGTAAAGGGAGATAGCTGACTGATATGATGGAACAGAGGAGGAGCATCGGAGGTGGATTCAAACTGTTCTATCATGGTTTGGATGGAAAGAGAAATGGCATAGGGGTAATCCTGAAGGAAGAGAATGTAAATAGTGTATTGGAGGTGAAGAGAGTGTCTGACAGAATGATGATTTTAAAGCTGGAAATTGAAGGGGTGATGATAAATGTCATCGGTGCATATGCCTCGCAAGTGGGGTGTGAGATGGAGGAGAAAGAAGATTTTTGGAGTAAGTTGAATGAAGTGGTGGTGAGGGTACCCAAAGAAGAAAGAGTGGTGATTGGAGCGGACTTCAGTGGGAATGTTGGAGAAGGGAACAGAGGTGATGAGGAGGTGATGGGTAGGTACGGTGTTAAGGAAAGGAATGTGGAAGGGCAGATGGTGGTAGACTTTGCAAAAAGATTGGAAATGACAGTGATAAATGCATATTTTAAAGAAGAAGGATGAGCACATTGTGACATATAAGAGTGGAGAAAGGTGCACACGGGTGGACTATGTTCTATGCAGGAGATGCAACCTGAAAGAGATCAAAGACTGTAAGGTGGTGGCAGGGGATTGTGTAGCTAGAGAGCATCGGATGGTGGTTTGTAGGATGACTTTGGAGGTGAAGAGGAGGAAGAGAGTGAGAACTGAACCAAGGATAAAATGGTGGAAGTTGAAAGAGGAAGACTGTTGCATGAACTTCAGGGAGGAGGTAAGACAGGCACTTGGTGGCAGTGAAAAGAAACTGAACGACTGGGTGACCACTGCAGAAATGGTGAGGGAGACAGCTAGGAAGGTACATGGTATGACATCTGGACAGAGGAAGGAAGACAAAGAGGCTTGGTGGTGGAATGAGCATGTACAGGAAAGCAGACCCCAAATAATTGGGATAGTCAGAGAGATTAAGAAAGTAGCCAGAAGTACAAGGAGATGTGTCGCAAAGCAAAGAAGGAAGTGGTGAAAGCTAAGGAAAAAGCGTATGATAAGTTGTATGAGAAGTTGGACACTAAAGAGGGGGAAAAGGATCTGTACCGATTGACTAGACAGAGGGACAGAGCTGGCAAGGATGTGATAAAGGTTAGAGTGTTAGAGTGATAAAGGATGCAATTGGAAATGTGCTGAAAAGTAAGAAGATTGTGTTGAGAATGTTGAGAAGGTGGATGGAGTATTTTGTGGAACTGATGAATGTAGAAAATGAAAGAGAGAGAATATTGGATATTGTGAAAATGGTGAATCAGGAATTCCAGGCGATTAGTGAGAATGAAGTGAGGGCAGTTATGAAAAGAATCAAGAGTGGAAAGGTGGTTGGTCCAGATGAGATACCAGTGGAGGCATGGAGGTGCTTAGGAGAGATGGCATTGACATTTTTAACCAGGTTGTTTAATAAAATCTTGGAAAGTGAGAGTATGCCTGGAGAAGATGTGTACTGGTACCGATCTATAAGAACAAAGGAGATGTGCAGAGCTGCAGTAACTACAGGGGCATAAAGTTGCTCAGCCACACCATGAAGTTATGGGAAAGAGTAGTGTAAACTAGATTGAGAGGAGAGGTGATGATCTGTGAGCAGCAGTATGGGTTCATGCCAGGAAAGAGCACTACAGATGCAGTGTTTGCTTTGAGAGTTTTGTTGGAGAAGTATAGAGAAGGCTAGAAAGAGTTGCATTGCGTGTTTGAGAATTTAGAGAAAGCGTATGACAGGGTGCCGAGAGAAGAGTTGTGGTACTGTATGAGGAAGTCTGGAGTGGCAGAGAAATATGTGAGCGTGGTGCAAGATATGTCTGAGGACAGTGTGACAGCGGTGAGGTGTGCAGTAGGAATGACGGACTGGTTCAATGTGAAGGTGGGATTGCATCAAGGATCGGCTCTTAGCCCTTTCTTGTTTGCAATGGTGATGGACAGGTTGACTGATGAGATCAGGGAGGAACCTCCATGGACTATGATATTTGCAGATGATATTGTGATTTGTAGTGAGAGCAGGGAACCAGTGGAGGTGTGTTTGGAGAGGTGGAAGTATGCACTGGAGAGAAGGGGAATGAAAGTCAGTAGGAGCAAAATGGAGTACATGTGCATAAACGGGAGAGAGGGCAGCAGAACGGTGCAGTTGCAAGGAGCAGATGTGGTGAAGGCGGATGAGTTTAAATACTTGGGGTCAGTTGTCCAAAGTAAAGAAAAGTGTGGTAGAGAGGTAAAGAAGAGAGTGCAGTCAAGGTGGAGAAGAGTGTCCGGAGTGATTTGTGATAGAAGGGTACCTGCAAGGGTGAAAGGGAAAGTTTACAAGATGGTAGTGAGACCAGCTATGTTGTATGGCTTGGAGGCAGTGGCACTGACAAAATGACAGGAGAAGGAGCTGGAGGTAGCAGAGTTAAAGATGCTGCGTTTTTCTTTGGGAGTGACGAGGATTGACAGGATCAGAAATTAGCATATTAGAGGGACAGCACAGGTAGGACAGTTTGTAGACAAAGTGAGAGAGGCAAGACTAAGATGGATTTAGCATGTGCAGAGGAGGGATGCAGGGTATGTAGGGAGAAGAGTGTTGAGGATGGAGCCACCGGGCAGAAGGAAAAGAGGAAGACCAAAGGGGATGTGGTGATGGAGGATATGCAGGTGGTTGGTGTGACGAAGGAAAACGCAGAGGACAGAACAAAATGGAGATGGATGAACCGCTGTGGTGACCCCTAATCGGGAGAAGCCGAAAGAAGAAGAGTTAAGTCCTGCATTGTTAGAAACTTGTAGTTTTCTGTTATGGGGTTGACTTCACATCCAACTTTTTTTTATTTTGTGTAAGCATGTCCTTGACACGAAGAATCCATGCTACAGCACTTTTCAACTTGTACCAATCAGAGTAATAATTGATCAGTTTGCTCACAGCATCTGTGCTCTCTGTAGCACTCACAAGATTCACTGAAGCTGAGTGTTTAATCTCATGTCATCCTCTTTTATTGATAGGTCATGATTATTCTCAAGCCAGGCCATATAAATTTAATGCAGGATCTAGAAAAAATCTGATCGTGATTAAACCAGAAAAATGTAAAATAAATGAACAAAAACAATTGTTAAATGCCTATTTCTACGTTATATTTTTGTTTAACTATTGACCATTTCAAAGACGTAAACAATAACAAAGGCATTGGAACGCTACTGCGCATGTCTGGTCCTGAAGCATTTCCGGTAGCGCCATTTTTAAATCTCAGATCTATCAAAACAATCGTGTACTTTATAAGTCTAGTGAAAATGCAACAGTTGCGGTATTACAATTTATTTTTATTTTTTAATAAACGGTTATTGTAATTACCCTTTAAATATGACTGAGGCGCAAACTTACAAAGAAATTTAAAAGTAGTCTTCCGGACCGCTCTGATTGATGCTGCGTGCGTGTACACGAGAGATGGCGGTAAATGCATATCGCAGTCTAGATGTAATGAACTTCTTAACGGAAAGCTTGGGATCATTTGTTCGTACAATGGATGACATCAGCCTTATGTTTGGTTAAACTGAAGCAAGACAAACAGTCATTTACGTACTTATCAAGGTTTTTCGCCAAGATGTCCGGGGAGGTTTTTAATGGGCATTTCACTTGCATTGCTGGGTCATGTATATCTACGCAAATATTAATTTTCATATTTATTTGTACAGCGCTTTTCACAATACATATCGTTTCACTGTAGCTTTACAGAACATGCATGTATATTACAACGCCAAATGAATGCTAGGATACTAATCAATAAATGCCATTATTACTGATTTCATTCGTTTTAAAATGTGTGCTTAGTTTGGACAAGTTTGTTGCTGTGGAACAGTGCGAGAAAGCATTTGAATGCTCTATCTGAGCCATCATGTGGT